TCTCCTTAGTTCTAGGTTGCTTCTCTCTTTGGTTAGTTTCCATCCGTTGCTTCTTATCCTGCTTTCAGGTGCTTTGGAGATTAGCTTGACTCCCTCTTCTTTGTGGCAGCCCCTGAGATATTAGAACACAGTTATCATGTCCCCCCTCGTCCTTCTCTTCATTAAACTAGACATATCCAATTCCAGCAACTGTTCTTTATTTGTTTTAGCCTCCAGTCCCCTAATCATCTTTGTTGCTCTTCTCTGTACTCTTTCTAGAGTTTCAACATCTTTTTTACATCGTGGTGACCAAAACTGGATGCAGTATTCCAAAAATGCTACACTCAATTTGCCAGCAAATTTGGAAAACTCAACAGTGGCCACAAGATTGGAAAAGGTCAGTTTACATTCCAATTCCAAAGAAAGGCAATGCCAAAAAATGTTCAAATTATCGCACCATTGCACTCATTTCACATGCTAGTAAAGTTATGCTTAAAATCCTACAAGCTAGACTCCAGCAGTATGTGGATCGAGAACTACCAGAAGTACAGGAAGGATTTTGAAGAGGCAGAGGAACTAGAGATCAAATTGCCAACATACGCTGGATCATGGAGAAAGGTAGGGAGTTCCAGAAAAACATTTACTTCTGCTTCATTGACTATGCTAAATCCTTTGATTGCGTGGATCACAACAAACTGTGGCAAGTTCTTAAAGAGATGGGAGTACCAGACCATCTTATTTGTCTCTTGAGGAACCTATATGCAGGTCAAGAAGCAACAGTGAGAACTGGACACGGAACCACTGATTGGTTCAAAATTGGGAAAGGAGTCCAACAAGGCTGTATACTGTCGCCCTGCCTATTTAACTTATATGCAGAGCACATCATGAGAAAGGCAGGGCTAGATGAATCAAAAGTTGGAATTAAGATTGCCGGGAGAAATATCAACAACCTAAGATATGCAGATGATACCACTATAATGGCAGAAAGTGAAGAGGAACTAAAGAGCCTCTTGATGTGGGTGAAAAAGGAGAGTGCTAAAGTTGGCTTGAAACTCAACATTAAGAAAACCAAAATCATGGCATCCGGCCCTCTCAATTCCTGGCAAATAGATGAGGAAGAAATGGAGGTAGAGACAGATTTTATTTTCCTGGGCTCCAAGATTACCTCAGATGGGGACTGCAACCAAGAAATTAAAAGACGCTTGCTCCTGGGGAGGAAAGCTATGGCAAATCTAGACAGCATACTGAAAAATAGAGACATCACCCTGCCAACAAAAGTGCATATAGTCAAGGCCATGGTTTTCCCAGTTGCAATGTATGGATGTGAATGTTGGACCATAAGAAAGGCTGAGCGAGAAAGAATTGAGGCCTTTGAACTATGGTGCTGGAGAAGACTCCTGCGAGTCCCTTGGACTGCAAGGCGTTCAAACCGGCCAGTCCTAGAAGAGATCAACCCCGACTGCTCTTTAGAAGGCCAGATCCTGAAGTTGAAACTCAAATACTTTGGCCACCTAATGAGAAGGAAGGACTCACTGGAGAAGGGCCTAATGCTGGGAAAGATTGAGGGCAACAGAAGAAGGGGACGACAGAGAATGAGGTGGCTGGATGGAGTCACTGAAGCAGTAGGTGTGAACTTAAATGGACTCCAGAAGATGGTAGAGGACAGGAAGACGTGGAGGAACGTTATCCATGGGGTCGCGATGGGTTGGACAAGACTTCGCAATTAACAACAACAACAACATTAACACTTCACGTGATCTTGATTCTATCTCTCTGTTAATGCAGCCTAGCAATGTGTTGGGTTTTTTTGGCAGCTGCAGCACACTGCTGGCTCATATTTAAGTGAGTGTCCACTAGGACTCCGAGATCCCTCTCACAGTTGCTACTTTTGAGCAAGGTAGTACCTATAGTATACCCATGCATTTGTTTTTTCTTGCTTAATTGTAGAACCTTACTTTTTTCACCATTGAATTTCATTTTGTTAGATAGCGGCCAATGTTCAAATCTGTCAAGAGCCTTCTGTATCTTAAACCTATCTTCTGGAGTGTTGGCTATTCCTGCCAGTTTGGTGTTGTCTGCAAATTTGATGAGTTCCCCATCTATCCCCTCATCCAAATCATTGATGAAGATGTTGAAGAGTACTGGGCCCAGAACAGAGCCCTGGGGCACCCCACTACACACTTCCCTCCATGTAGATGCAGTTCCATTGAGGACCACATGCTGAGTACGGCTGGTCAACCAGCTATGAATCCATCTGGTGGTGATTCTGTCTAACCCACATTTTTCTATCTTATCAAATAGTAGCTTGTGGTCTACTTTATCAAATGGCTTACTGAAGTCCGAGTAAATTATATCCACAGTATTCCTCTGATCCACTAATTTTGTCACTTGGTCAAAGAATGCAATAAGATTTGTCTGGCATGATCTGTTTTTGACTAACCCATGTTGGCTTTTAGTAATGACTGTGTTTGCCTCTAGGTGTTCGCTGATTCATTGTTTGATTATCTTTTCCAGAATCTTCCTAGGTATTAAGGTCAGGCTGATAGGTCTGTAATTTCCTGGGTCCATTTTTTCCCCTTTTTTGAAGATGGGAACTACATCAGCTCTTTTTCAGTCCTCTGGTAGCTCCCCAGTGCTCCAGGATCTTTGAAAGATATAGTTCAGTGGTTCTGAGATCACATCTGCCAGTTCCTTGAGAACCCTGGGGTGTAGTCCATCTGGTCCTGGTGATTTGAATACATCTAAGGTGGACAGGTGCTCACTTACCATTTTCTTGTCTACCTTAATTTGTGTTTCTAATCTGTTTTTTATGGTACTGTTTTTGATAAGTTGGACTTTTTTTTCCCTTTCTGTAAATACGGATGCAAAAAATGAGTTGAGTACTTCTGCTTTCTTCCTGTTGCTTGTCTCCTTCTTGCCACTTTCTCCCACTAATGGACCAATCACTTCCTTAACTTTTTTCTTGTTTTTTACATGTTGAAAGAAGTTTTTTGTTATTTTTTACTTTTGTTGCAAGCTCATTTTGAGCCTTAGCTTTTCTCACTTCATCTTTGCAGGCTCAAGCTATTTGCTGATATTCTGCTTTAGTTATCTGCCCCTCTTTCCACTTTTTATACGTCCTTTTTGTCTTTCAATTTATCAGAGAGTTCTTTATGCAGCCATGCTGGTTTCTTTTGAGAGCTGTTATTTTTCTTCTTCCTTGGTATTGGGCTAGACTGGGCTTTTATAATTTCACTTTTCAAAATTTCCCATGCTTCTTGAATTGTTTTTCCCTTGAGGATTCTCATCCATGGAATCCTTCCCAAGCTCTTTCTAAGTTGGTTGAAATTAGCTCTCTTAAGTTTGACTGTGTTCTATTGCTTGTGCTTGCATAATGTTGAATTCTAATATTGCATGATCACTCCCCCCAAGGCTCTATCATTTCATCTCTGTTTATCATAAAAATATACAAATTAAATTCATATGTACAAATTAATTTACAATTTAATATTTGCCATTTAGGTCACAATGAAAATATAAATCCATTGTGGTAGCAATTATACAGAAGGTTAACTGCTTTCTAAAAATCCTTGAGAAAGGATTGAAAATAAAATTGATAATAATTTACTGACAAAAAACTATGATACGAATATATTTGGTATATTGTTTATGATTGCATACAATTTTGGGCACTGCTGAAGGAATGCAGAAAAAGAAAACATGTTGTGTTATTTCCATAACAAAGAAAAAAACAGCACATGAAGCTTTTTAGCTTCAGGTAGGTAAGTACAGCTCCAACAGAATCATAAATAATACATATAAAATCAAGTTAAGTTGTGTTAATGGTTAAGGCATCAACTAGAAATCAGGTGACTGTGAGTTCTAGCTCTGCTTTAGGTCAAAGCCAGCTGGGTGACTTGAGCCAGCCACACTCTCTCAGCTTTAAGAAGGAGGCATGTCAGAAAAACTGCAGAGAATAATCTAGGCAATTTCCAAGAGTCAAAACTGACTCAAAGGCACAAAAAACAAATATAAAAATAATACTATTTTCTAGGACATAAACTATGGAATTTACAGCCATCACAGTTAGGCTGATCAATATAAAATATTTTAAATTCATGGTGATAGTTTTGTTAATGGTTATCAACCATGATTTATGATTTAGTCCTTGGCTTACAACCACAATTGGAACTGGCATTTTGGTTGTTGAGTGTGAAGTGGTCATTAAGCATTAAGATGTCACATAACTGCCCACATGACTGTTTTGCTCAACAACTGCAATTCCGGCACCCCTGGAATTTATAGTCATTAATTTATTTTGACATTCCTTAGCAGCTAGATGCATTTAACGCCAGAAGTTTAGACCTGGAGTATAACTCTGTCAGGTAAGGATACGCAATTCTTCAAAGAAAAAAAAATAAACAAGATGTCTAATTGTGCTCATTATTCAGTTCTCCCATTTTATAGAACTATTTCTGGCTAAACTGCAGGGCTTTTGAATTACCAATTGATACATCATTTTTTTTTCTAAAATGTCATCTAGTAAATATACATGAATTAATTCCACTTATTTTAAATAAACATTTGATATATTTTTTTTGATAATTGCAAATGAAGTGCTTTGCATTCTATTATTGGAAAAATATGAGAAATTCTCCCCATGTTATTCTTTTCATGAAGAAGAAAAAGAACAATATGGGCTCTGTGTTGTATCATCATTATCATAACTGTGAAGGAAAGGCAGACCATGCCTTCCTTGAGCTAAGGAAAACTGAGATTTAAATAAGGATTGAAATTACCAAGAACGAACTAAGAATAAATAAGAAAATATTGAGGTATATGAAAGCAGAAACTTATTTGACAACTTCTAGTCTGAAAGACTGTCTGTGAAGTTTTAGTGTTTAGTTTTCATGTCACATATTTGAGCAATTATAATACAGCACTGAGTGGAGGGGAAAAAACATTTAAGATTACAGAAAATACAAAGCGCAGAGACTATTGTGAGGGCTGAGGTTCAACAGAGCTGCCTTCTTAATAAACCACTGTTGTATTGATCTGCATATGGTTATCTGTGGCCTTTTAAACATTTCTGAGAAATGTTTCACAGGTTTTTCCACTGTGAAACTTAGAAACCACAAAAAAAGAAGTGGCAGTTTCCTCATCACTATTAGGAAAAGCTGATGGCCAGAGCTCAGCAATTAAAGGCATGTATGTTTCTTGTAGAAGAAGACTGATATTAGTACTAATGGGATCTCTTTTGTATTTGCCAGCTATACTCCTATTGCTGCTTGGTGAGTTTCACTTAATGCAATTTCTTTTTATAGAAGTCTAAGTTCAGGTTTGCTATTTCTTGCTGATAAAAGTACATTCCAGTATTAGCCAACTGGATATCTTTGGATGCTCACCTAAAGCTACCCAATCTTCGATGTCTGATATTCAGAGAATATCACATCTATTCACAAAAGTTCAATTTAATAATCCTAAGAATTGATAATGTACTTACTTACACAGGTCTTTTTCCATTTGGGATTAGTTGTATAGCGTTTGAAGAGATCTTTTTAATTATTTCACAATTTTAGGAAAGCTGCAAGGCACCATTATTCATTATCTCTATATCCTATTTGTAGTGACTTATGCATTTATGCTATTGGGATGAGTCCATGCTGTAAAGATTTAATGAATCCTATTCTTTGCTGATTATTGCTCTTGTGTCTTGTTCTCTTAAATTAATACTAATCAAACAAGGTTTTGGAGATGCTGATCCTCATGATCAGATTAAGGACATAAATAAGTACATTCAGGTGGGATCAAACTGGTTTTTTAATTAAAGAAAGGAGGGCTGTTATTTCACTTTAGAACTTATACTATACTTATACTATATTTTTTTTATTTTTCCCACCCCAATATCAGCAGAAAATGCATGTATACTTAGTGGCGCAATCAAAATGGATACTTGAGATACAACAAACTAGCTCAGGGTCTACAGTTGTTTATATCATTTAAAATCTTTCATAGAAGATGTGTCCTTCTCCAATACTTAAATTCAATTATATTAAATTACAATTAATTAAAAAGAGTGGGATAAATCAAAAATATATAATGTCCCCAGGAATTTATACAAGTTATTTGGATGATTTAATAATGTTTAATAAGACAACAAAACAAACATAACTGTAATCCTAAATATAAAACCAAAAATATTGAATAATATGAAAGAAGGCAAGCTTCCTATTTCAAAAGAAATGTTGACTAATTAAAAAAATCTGTCAGTCCTAAACCTAGATCTAAAAATAAACCCTATCCAGCAAACCAAAAGAAAGTGGCTTCAGTTGCTTGTAGTTACTATGTACCTTATTATATGCCACCACATTAATTGGTTGTTGATGTCAAATAATGGGAACTGTGCTTATCGTTGGGTGGTAAGTCCTGTAATATTATTCAAAAGCAGAGTAATTAGGACTCTTTTTGAGTTCCCTGTAAAACTGATAATAGAAGGGGGCTAACTAAAGAGCTCTCCTAACTCTCAGGACATACTATGATAACTTCTTGTATCTACATATCTTCCAACTGCCAAAGAAATCACTTTCCATAAGTTAACAATGGCTCTTCTCCAGTCAAGCTATCTGACTACGTAAGATGTGCAGCTGGTTCCATAATAAAATGCTGATTGTGATAACATGATTCAATATTAAACAAATCAAGTGATGTTACATTGAACTCATCTATGTTATAGGAATGAAGCCCTCGATCTTGAAACAGTTTTGAGCTCTGGTTTAAACGATACAACAAGATTTTTAAAAAATCCATCATTTCATCCTATTAAAGGACAGAAATAATTAACATATTTTTCACAGTTAATTTTACAGTAATATATATGCAAAATAGCTTGTGACTTTTTTTGTAATTAGTAAGTTCCAGCCTTTCTTTTAGTCTCTGTAAATAATCCAGTTGTTCCTTCTTATACGCAGTCTATAATTTCTGTTGATTATTTTCTTGGAAATAAAACCAACCTTGATCAATATTAATCAGAATTGACAGATTTCTTATTCAGCATTATATAACTCTCCTGAATGATATTCAGCACTTTGTTTTAATTCACTTTCTTTTTTTCTGAATTAGAATTTTTTTACTAAATTAATTAATGTGAAGAAGTACTTGGCTAGATTATAGATAGAAACTATACATATTGCCTTCTACAAGTTTCTAGAATATTAGTTTTTATTAAATTATTATAAAGCTTAATTTTTAAATCATTATCTCACTACTGGTTATAAATATGATAACATCATATTTTAAAAGCTAAAATGATGCTTGACTATGCACAGGAAGAAACAGGCTGAATATATGGAACAAAATTAAAACTCAATGTGAGTTAATACCACTTTACAATGCCTTGGTATGGCCACACTTGGAATACTGCATCCAGTTTTGGTCACCACGATGTAAAAAAAATGTTGAGATTCTAGAAAGAGTACAGAGAAGAGCAACAAAGGTGATTAGAGGTCTGGAGGCTAAAACATATAAGGAACGGTTGCTGGAATTGGGTATGTCTAGTTTAATGAAGAGAAGGACGAGGGGTGACATGATAGCAGTGTTCCAATATCTCAGGGGAAGAGGGAAAAGGGAATCAAGCTATTCTCCAAAGCACCTGAAGGCAGGACAAGAAGCAACGGGTGGAAACTAATCAAGGGGAGAAGCAACTTAGAACTAAGGAGAAACTTCCTGACAGTTAGAACAATTAACCAGTGGAAAAACCTGCCTCCAGAAGCTGTGAATGCGCCAACCCTGGAAGTTTTTAAGAAGAGACTGGACAGCCATTAGTTCTGCCTGAGCAAGGGGCTGGATTCAATGACCTCCAAGGTCCCTTCCAACTTTTCTTTATTACTATTATTATTATTATTATTATAAAATAATAGGATTTATTTAATAAAGCTAAAGCAGAATTCATGGTTTTTTTTAATTCTAATGCAAGATTTTTGAATGTCACAAATGTTCTAATTTGCATTATATTACTACTGTCTAACAATAGTTATTAGAAAGTTTAAATTGTCTTGTTCTCATCTTCTACTTCATGGGTCTGGACAATGTGTTTTTTTAATATCTTAATGTAATAAACTGGACTAATTCTATTATCTTTTAATAATCTGTCCCTAGACCCCTGTGTGGGAGAAAGAATGGTGTCTATTCAGAAAGGACCTCTTTACCGAGTAAAAGGCACACACATCACTATTTGGTGTAACGTCAGTGGCTACCAAAAATTGGAACAGAATTTTGAGTGGTCCTCTTATCTGCTATCAGCTCCACAGAGAGAGATGCAAATCATCAGCACTAGAGACAGTGGATTCTCTTATGCTCTCTACTCCAAGCGTGTCAAAAGTGGGGAAATTTACATTGAAAAGATCAAGGAAGATTCTGTTCTCCTGCACATTACAGACCTCAAGGAGAACGATGCTGGTGTATATGAATGCCACACACCCAACACAGAAGGTGTTTATCTTGGGACTTACAATGCCAAAACAAATCTCTCAGGTATGGTAAAGTATGGGGTGAATATTCACTTATATGCCTATATAAATTTTAATGTCAGATGTTTGATTTACTCTACTAGATTTTTTTCTACTCCACATGGAGAGTGAAAGGTATAAAACTACTTGTAAGACACTATACATGTGTCTGTTTATCTAGGTTCAGAGTGATCATAAGTTGTTCATACTATATAATAATACATATAAATCTTCAGAACTAGATAATTAATTCCACTTCAGTTTCAAATTTATACATGGGACACTATTAATTAATTCTACATCCATTATAATACTATTTGTGGGATCCTATAGCTACCTGGCTAGGTTACAATCAGCTTAATGATCAACATTCACTCAGCCTTTAATTAGATCCTGTAACTTTCAGACAAAACTAAAGAATTAATTCTGTTTTAACTTTCCTTGGGAACAGAATGTGTGGGTACCTTGGTCATAGATTTGGAATGGTTGATTGTGCTTCATTGAAATTGATCAAGGTCTACAATCTTACTCTTTTCCCAAGAAGTCATGGTCACACACAGGTTAGGCTGGAAGTATTATCCCAAGTCTCCTCCACAGTTATTCAGAATTTGCATTGGAATTTGGATATAACTTTTTTTGTACAGGCCTAATATCTTTGCCAGAAATAGTCTGTTTGGTGAATGGTTAAGGGATCAGGATAGATAATGCGAGACTGTGAATTCTAGTGCTGCCTTGGGCACAAAGTCAGCTATATGTCTTTGGGCTAATCATGTTCTCTTATCTCTAGAAAAAAGGCTATGGCCAGCCACTTTTGAAAAACATTACTAAGAAAGCTGCAGGTAGTCTCCAAGAATCAGATATGATTGATGGAAGAAAAAAAATCATTTCAACTGCACATTACCAGAAGAGCTCAGTTATTTCATGAAAACACTAAACAACTTCTCTTGCAGATGACCGCAAAATATATAGCATTTGAAAATTGCAGCACACACAAGCAATGTGTTGTACTATATAGTTCAACGATTGTACATGTAGTCCTCACATATGACCATTTGTCTAGTGACCATTCCCAGTTACAGCAGTGCTGACAAATGGTTCTTACATCCTGTTCCTGAAATCATGAAATATTCCTTTGCAATAATCCTGCAGTCAAATGACCAGAAAGAGCCAGTTTGGTCTAAGTGGTTAAGGCACCAGACTAGAAAGCAGGAGACTGTGAGTTCAAGTTTTCCCTTAGCCATGGAAGCCAACTGAATGACAATGGGACAGTCACTCTCTCTCAGCCCAACCCACCTTCACAGGATTCTTGTTGTGAGGAAAAATGTTGGATATGTTCGCAGCCTTGAATTATTTGTAAAAATAATAAAAGTGAAAAACAAATAAAACAAATAATTCAGTCTTGGCATCTTGTCTACATTTAGCATGGGCTTTTCAAAACTACCACCTGCCTACGCGACTCCATTTGTGTCCTTTTGGCTATCCTGCACAGTGGCACTCTTGGCAGTAGCAGCACTGTTAACACAAGAGCTAAAGTAAAGGATTGAGCCCCTCAGCCATCTCAGCTAGCTGCCGCCAGCCACAGGCCCTATTTCAGCCCCAGTACCACAGCTGAAGAGAAGAGTTTGAGGTGGCACACCTCAGTGGTGGTGGTAATGCTAGTAGTATTAAGGCTAAAGTGGAGTCTGGGGCCTATGGCAGTCAGTTGAAACTGCTGAAGGCTTTGGGCCTCTACTTCCACCTCAGTGCCGTTGCCACTGCTGCTGTACAGGGAGCCAAAAGGACAGAGATGGGAGTGAGATAGCAGGGTGGGGATAGTTCAAGAGAAGGCATTCCCTTACTTTAATGAGGCTCAAGACTGGAAGTGACCAAGCAGAGAATGTTCTTTGATAGGGCTAGGCCTCGCCTAATAATCAGCAGGATTCAGTTAACAATGGCAATGAGGACTGTTGGGATTTCTGTTGCTAAAGTGATGCTATCACATGAGTTTTTGTTTAGAGATAGAAATTCTGGTCCATTATTGGAAGTTTGAAAACAAAATATGGGGATATGTTTTTATCTTTAGTGCTCTTGAGGTAGTATTAGTGGGGGAAATGTAAGATATTTGAAAGAGATTTGAGGGCTAAGGAACAGAGATTAAGGAAATTACAAAAAGGAAGTAAAAATAAATTAGAGAAAGCAGGGAAAAGCAGCAGTCATTTTCTGAGTTTGAAAAGCATCATTTAATCAGCACTGGCAAATGGCAGAATCTGAGATGTTAATTTGCACCCTACAATTGGGCAATTAAAAGTTGCATGGAATGATCACTTGTGTTTTGATCTCCATTCATCTTTGTTTTACTACTTAAAAACAAACTTCCAGTCATATACTTCCTAAAGTTCATTTTGCTTCTTCTTCCTTTTCTCATTAAACAAATTCTACCCTTAATTGTTGGTTGTTTTCCATGCGTCCTTTCAAAAAACATGAAGGCCAGAGCACCATGTATTAGCATGCTAGCATTTTACCCTCATTCATCTTAGCCTTAATTGTTTGAATCCAAGTTCACAATTCCTTCAAGATCAGTATATTGTTATCATAGTCTTTGATTAGTACACCACAATCTCCTCTACAAAAAAGGATTTCTGTCTGAAGAATTTAAAACTGCAATTGGTCTTTTCTTTGTGTTTAGTAATTCCAGACACACTCTCTGTCACCATGAAGTCACAGATTCCCATGCAAAATGAAGGCGACTCTTTGGATCTCATTTGTCAAATATCAGTGGCAACAGCACAACATACCCATCTTTCTGTTGCTTGGTATGTAATACCAGAAGGAAGGGACAGAAAGGCCCAGAAGATTCTTTCCCTGTCCAAAGATTACGTTCTATTTCCAGGCCCTTCCTACACTGAGCGGTTCAACTCAAGAGACATCAGACTAGTGAAAACTGGGGATACTGAATATAAATTTTCCATCATCAAACTTCAACAATCAGATCAAGGTAAATTGTACTGTGAAGCAGTGGAATGGATTCAAGACCCTGATGGAACTTGGAAAGATATTATCCAGAAACAGACAAATACAACATCATTGACCATTAAATGCCTTGGTAAGCATTTCTTAAACTAACATATATAGCATTTTATAAACAATGTATAGTAGCAGCTAGTAAAGAATCTGTGGGAGAACTGTTTATGTCTCCCACAAATGTTGCTAGTTTATTTTATGGTTCTGAGTTTTCTATAACCATGATTTTAAAAAGCTTTTTAGTTATAAATGAACCTGGAGTCTCCATTCATCAGATCTCTCTACATAACCAGCTACTTAGTGGGATTTGGTTTGGTTTTTCTTTAAAAAAGAATTGAAACATATTTGAAAAATTCTATTGCTCTGTGGTCCTTTCCTATCAAATTCAGAAAAATGATGACAGAGAAAAGTAAACCTTACACCCAAGATGGTTGCCTTTCTCAGAAACAGATATAAAAAAACACAATTTAGGAAGACCAGGGGAATGGGTACTTCTGAAGCACAGCCATATAATTCAAGCAGTGATTGAAATAGTGGAGAAAGAATGCATGGGGATATCTATTATTTCACTGCCCAATTTGCTAGTGCTGTGATATTCCAGGCCCTGTTCATGTGATTCTGAGCCAAAGAGGAACTGAGGCAGTGGAAGGAAAAAGAAAAGGAAAAGGAAATTGAGAATGTCTTGCCTCCTTTTGCTTTTAACCAGTTTTGCTGTGATACTAAGTAAAGGAAAATGATATCAAATTTCAGCTCACGATGGTTATGAAATCCATTACATAACCAGATGGCTTCTCTACCTTTGCATCAAATTTGATGACTTCCACATCAAATTTTACACCAAGATAAAAGGGAGACCTAGCCAAAACAAGTGTCTTTTTTTTACAAGTTAATTCTGTAATAGTGGAATATGAGTTCTCCCATTTGACTTCTACCATAAAAATATGACATCCATGTAGCACAATATAAATTTTGTGTATTCAACTATTTAGTGCATTTAATAATTTTCTAGATAACAGTTATTAGATTTCTTTTTTTTTATTGAAATTTTTTTAAATTTTACAAAACAAATCCCCTCCCCAAACCCACCCTCCCATACCCTCCCCCATCTCCCCAAACCTCCCTAACCCTCCCCTAGACCTCCCAGAGTTGATTACAGGCTTATCCTAAATATTTCAAAAAGAAAAGAAAAAAAGCTTAAAACACATATGAATCCTAAACAAATCTAAAAACCTTAAATTAAATGAATTATCTCCTCTAAAAAAATAATAATTAAAGTCATTATAATATACTCTAAACTTTAAACACTACTTTCCTTGAACATCTATACCTATAATATAAAATCTAATATAAATAATAAACAATTCTGAATACATTTAGTTAAACAAATTGTACTCCCTCCAAAACACAACTTTAAACATTACTTAAAACTTGAAACATTAAAATGAGCAAATTGAAACTTAAGCAAATTGTACTCCCACCAAACACAAATTTAAACATTACTTAAAACTTAAAACTTAAAACATTAAAATCCCGCTGTACACATTTAATCAAATTCCATCTTGAAAATAATAATAATAATGATTACTGATATTATTATCATTCTTTATAATCTCCCTCCAACACAAATTTAAACATTACTTAGAGCTTAAAGCATTAAAATTCCCTTTAAACATTTAAATCTTCAACAATAACAAATCCCCTCCACAAATTCAGTCTCTCTTGCCCATAAGCATCGAAAAAAAAGCATAAAAATCTGCCCTTGAAGATCGCTCCAAAGAATTTGTAAGTCCTGGTTTTCCCACTAACTCCAGAACCAATACCTTTGAAACTTCCTCAACCTCCTTCACCTGTCGGTCTTTCTCTTTACGTTTATATGTTGCTTTTTCTTTGCATTTATACATTCCAGTCTCAGGAACCAACACTTGTAAAACTTCCTCGACCTCCTTTTCTTTATATTTATATGTTGGACAAGTTGTCTTCTGGTCTTTCATCTCTTGTGAAACTTCCTTGAGCTTCTTCTGCTGATTCTTTTCTTTACAATTATATCTTGCATAGGTTATCTTCTGGTCATTCATCTCTACTTGTTGAGGCCTCCTATTTTTAATTAATATAGACTCTTCAAACTGCAATTCTGGCATTAAAGGTTGCTCCAAAAAAATTATAGATACTTCTCCCTCAGATTCAGGAACCAATAGTTGTGGAGCTTCCTTAAAGTTCTTCTGTTGATCCTTTTCTTTACAATTATATGTTGCATGAGTTGTCTTTTGCTCCTCCATTTCTACTTGTTGAGATCCCTCAAACTGCAAGTCTACCTTTTTATCTTCCAAGACTTTAAACATGGTAGGTGACGATGAGCATACCCCCAGGACCGAAGTATAAAAATCTTTTGCTTTAGAAACAGTATTAAGACTATAACGTATCCCCAGGTAGCTCACCACCATTCCAGTCGGAACATCCCATCTGAACAGAATTTGTCTCTTTTTAAGTTCGTCTGCTAAGAAAACAAACTCCTTTCTTCTCCTTAAAATTTTTGGTGGGATCTCCTTTAAAATTATAACATCTTGTGAAGCAATTTGAAACCTCTTCTTATAAAAGGCTTGTATAATTTCATTGCGCAGGGATCTTTTCCCAAAGTAAATTACCACATCTCTTGGCAAATTCTTTTGCTCTGCCACCACAGAGTTAACTCTAAATGTCTGATCAATTCCACTAAGTATTTCCTCTTCTTCTCTATTCAGAATCACAGCAAAGTCCTTTGCCACCATCTCTCTCAAATCTCCTTGCACAGACTCATGTAAACCTCTAATTCTTAAGGCATATTCCATTCATTTATATTGAAGCATAAGAATCTCATCTTGAAAGTTTTTCATCTCTTTTTCCATACTTTCAAATTTTTCCTCCATCAATTCCATTTTTTCAACTACCTCTTCTACACGAAAATTCAACTTTTCAAGAACAGAAGCAACTCCTTTTAAAGTCAAAACTATCTCTTGCTTCAAAGTCTTATTATTTTCCTCTAAAATCTCTTTCATTTCTCCCCTAATTTGGAGTATAACATCTCCCATCATGTTTTGCAAATCCTTCACCATTGTTGACTGTGGCAAGGAAGAAGGTGAAACTATTAATTTAGATTGTTGCCTTGATGATAAGACTGAAGAAGAAGTCACCTTGGAAGCTGTAGAGATTACTGAACACTTTGGAGCCATCTTGAAAAAAAAAAACTTTACTCCTTGGAGTAAATGCTCCAACACTGGAAGTTTTTAAGAAGAGACTGGACAGCCATTTGTCCGAAATGGTGTAGGGTTTCCTGCCCGAGCAGGGGGTTGGACTAGATGACCTCCAAGGTCCCTTCCAACTTTACTACTATTACTAATTTCCTTCTTAAAAATTGCAAGAATTAAACAAACAAAAAAAAAAAATAAGAAATTAGCTCCATATATTCAAAAAAAATCCTTCAAAAGGGGATCATTAAAGAAAAAAAAGAGGAAAGAAAAAATAATAATAATAATTAAATAGAAAAATCCATTCCATTTTTTTTTAAAAAATGCCAAAAAGTGCAGAATACAAAACACAAAAATTAAACAAAAATAGTAACACTAACACTCCATTCCTATCATAAAAAAAAGGAAAAAGGGAAAGGGAAAAGAAAAAACACCAAAAATGCTTCTAAAATCCATAAAAGCCGATCGCCGTTAAAAAAAAAAGCGCCGGAGAGTCTGCCGATCGCCATTTTACTTTCCCTCTCAACAAAAAGTAAAAAAATAAAAATTAAAAAGAGGGAAAGAATAATAATACTTCTAAAATCCATCCAGTCATTAAGAAAGCAAAAAAGAAAAGAAAAAGCCGATCACCGTTCTAACTTCCCCCCCCCCAAAAAAACACCGGAAAAATCTGCCGATCGCCATTTTACTTTCCTTTTCAACAAGAAGTAAAAAATAAAAGGAGAGTATATAAACATAAAAATAGATCTTTAAACTTAAAATACATATAAAGTCAAAGAAAGCTAAAAATAAATCCTCTAGTCAACTCTGTCCGCTTATAAAAAAAAACTCACCAGTTCACTTTAAACACGGAGGTGTTCGCAATGGCTTGTTTTGTCCCTAGGGACAAAAGCAGCTGGGAAATGGAGACAGTCTGAACTCCGTGGGAGCACTCTGTCACCCCCCCAAAAAGAAATGGGGGTACATAAGAGGCTCTACCACTATTCAGACTACCCTCTGGCCCCCCCTTTGCCCGGGAGGGGGATTTTGAACCGCTGAACAGCTGATGTCTGCTGTTCATAGCGGTTTATTACACTTACCCAGGAGGACGGCTACAAAGTAGCCGCCATCGCCGTGCAGATCCACCGGAAGTCCAACAGTTATTAGATTTCCAAGTATCTCCCTCCCACTTCCTTTTTCAGTCACACTCAGTTTATGAAGTTATGCACTTTGAACTTTGTTATAAAGACTGCTACTGAAAATAAAGAGAGTTACATCTTACATTAGAATCAGGCTCAAGTGAAGTTTAGATCATACACATGGCATAATAAATTTTAATGCATTTGTGAACTGAAACAGCACAGTTTAAAGTTCTACTTTACCTATAAAAAGATTCAACAAATATTTCTCAATGAAAAACATTTTAGCAGGATTTCTATTCTGCATTATTCAATATATTGATAATTTGGGGGAGGTTAACCATTAGATCAGAGCAGCCATTAGCTGCAGCATTTAGACTTATAGATGCCTTTCCTCCCAACACACTGGAGAGTTGATGGGAAAGTGCATTTGGAAATATACCTTTGATAAGAATATATTCTTCTTTTTACCTGTTACTTTTACTGTGTGAAACAAAATAACTGCTTTACTCAGTTATTCCAATGCATTTTTATGCAACTTATTTGTTGCATTTATTTGTTGCATAAATCCAAACACACACACACACACACACACACACACACACACACACACACACATCCCTCTTGCATTATTTTTATAAATAACACAAAGTGGCGAACATATCCATTACACCTTACTCCTCCTATTTAACCCACAGCAACAACACTGTGAGGTGGGTTGGGCTAAGAGAGAGTGATTGTCCCAAAGTCACCCAGCTGACTTTTATGGCAAAGGTGCAACTTGAACTTGTAGTCTCTGGCTTTCTAGTCTGGTATCTTCACCAAACTGGCTCTCTATATAAGCAACTTCACTGGGTCCTCATATATGCTTGAATTCATTCTTATGAGTCTTGGCAGGGGTGAACAATAGTGAGGAATTCTGAGAACTACAGTCCCACCATACCTGAGGGATCCCAAGGCCTTACCCTTGCACTAAGATGATTATTTTAATGGGTTTTTTTTGGCCTTCAGTAACATTTCATTTCTCCTGGCCCATCCATACTGATAATGTTTGTAATTGTCATGTCATAAATACCAGAGTTATATATTTTCTTGAGACAAAGTAGAATATAGTTATTCCTCAAGATACAAATCATGCTTTATGGTACTTAAAATCCTCTACATTATCTTGGCATAGCACATTGAGAAAACCTACAGATACATCTTCCCATACCTAGCAGACAGAGGAAAAATAATAATACAACAAAAGCAAAACAACTTAGATACAATTTAGTAATACTCCAACATGCTGCCAAATAGCCTGTGATCTGAGACAACTTCTTCATTCAACTTCATGGTCAGTCACTTGATCTTGTATGTTCACTCTGTGTATTTATTTTTATTTCTACAGATAAAAAATCAAATATGAATAACACTGCTGACAAAAATTCAGCTCCGAACGGAAAAGAAAACAACCTCAAGTGCTCAGTGGAAACCCAGAATATCCATGGTTCTGTATGGGTTGGCTCCATCATGATGGGGTGGTGGTTAGTGCTGATCATTACTGGGCCTCGTCTGTCCGAAATGACAGTGAAGCAAGGCCTAGTGTGAGAAATCTTCTAGTGCAGCAGCAAAGCAGTGACAAGCATATCTTTATGGTAAGTCAGGTGGAAGTGATAGACAAAGGGACATAGAGCTATAAGATTTCTGAAATACAAAACATGCTCTGAGTTCATTTTTCATTATACAAGAAAAATTCTTCTGGCATCAGTACAAATATGAAGTCTCAAGGTCAATCAGGCTAGATTTTTTTTTCTATACATAAAGTTGGCTTGACTAATAAAATGCTGTTTTTTCTCAGAACTGATAGATTGTAGCTTTTCTATTATGTATGGCAAATGCATTTGTTCAGAATTTTCTAGAATTTTCACATTCTGTAGTTAAAGTCATTCTCAAAAGTTTTGAGATATTTGGGAACTGTGAGGTTTGTGTTGTATATAAATATATAGAATAAATAAATAGATAACTGAAAATAACTGAGAAAATTTATTTTAAAATAGCAGGGAAAAATAAAGCAGGTGGCATAAAACAAAAGAATAAAAAGGTGTCCCAAGATAAGGGAATGGATTATGTGCTTTATAATAAGGGAACAAAATCTCTGACTTCCAAATATCACAATTTAAACCAAATATATTTGCATGTAAAACTTTTGCATGCTTCAATGCATCCCTATGTGAATAGAAGCTAACATGACCTTAGCATGGTGCAAAGTTAAATATAACGATTTTCTGAACATTTGAATACAATCTTACCACTTATGCATATTTTTTTGAATCCACATGTTAAGGTGTTGTATATAATTTTGTACTATGTAGAGGCTATTTCAGCTTCTGTTCACTTAGGCATTCATTGGAATTTCCATTTTTGCAGAGTGCCTGAACTTTTATATGCACATAAACTTTGAGAAATACAAAAAAATAAATAAAAAGGATTTCTGGTTTGCGCTTGTAGTGCATGGCTGTGCGACAGTGGACCTCTGCTCCTCATGGCTAATTTTGCCCTGCCAGGGGGACCCTAGATGGGTCTGAAGTCGCCCCGTAAAGGTTACCGCAAAGGAGGGGCGCTCCATTGATCATGAAGGAAGTTTACCTTTATTTTATTGGCAACAGCAAAGCCCTTAGCTATGCAAATCATGCCAATGTGGAATGTATTAAAGTTAACAAACACACCAGAATACTTGATTATTCTTTCTTTTGTGTTTTTAAAATGAAATATAGTTTACTAAAAAGTTTAGTCTGGTTGGCAGTTGGAAAGGAAGTGAAACAAAGATGCATGTTATGAAGGAACAAAACAAATTCTTGAATCAAGATGGCCAAATTATTGAGTTCCCTGAACTCAAGGGAAACCTCTGAACATGTTAAGGAGATAATTAAGTCTTCTCGGGTATCTTCAGATGCTGGCTCACAAGTTATCTCAAATCCACACTTCTATTTTAATAGATATTTTAATAGTCAGCAATTAACCACAAGAGTTACTTCTTGCCAAATTCCATTTTATTAATATTCTCACTATAAGTGGAAAATCTATCAGAAAATATAAAAAAAAGATGATTGGCATTTGATATCATTATTGGTTAGTATTTATCATACAACTATATAAACATTGCTTGTATCCTCCTTAAGCGGAAAGAATCTTAAAGTCTGACCCCAGTGCTGATCAAATAAACTTGGTGCTTTCTGAGCTTGCTTGGTTTTTTTTTTTTTTTTTTTGCAGACTCCTATTTACCTACTTGGTAACAAATTTGATGTTTGATTATTTGTCTGTTGGTAGTTCCTTGAATGGGATATTGTTACTGCTTTTGTTGATCTGGTATTAAACCTGGTGTTAATCTCTGCTTATCTGAGTATTGAATTGCTTGCTTTGATCTTTCCTATTTGTTTTTTTTGATTATCTCTTTTGAATGATATGTAGACGTTGTTTATCTCTGTGTGCAGGTTGATGACTGATTTGTCTGAATGCCACAAATAAACTTTGGCTCAAGCAGATTGCATAGTCACCACTCATAAACTGTGTCACAGGGAACTTTTTTCTCCTTTCATTACCTGTTTAAAATATACAGCAATGCATTATCAGTCTGTAGGATTTGAAAACACTAATGGCTGAAATCAAAAGAGGATACTACTAACAATTTAAGACATGCTGATAAAACCACTTTGTTGGCCACAGTAAGGCTTCATTAGTAAAGTAAAAATGAAAAATCCTGGTTATTGTTAAATATTAAGAAAATATAGGTAATGCTAACCAGCAGGCTTAGTGAACTTAAGCATGCCTGTTAGCATTACTGTGCAGGATAGTAGATTATTCTAGAAAGCAAGGCAGTAGCAAACTTAGATAAGAACCTGAAGGATATGGATTTTTTTAAAAATAGCAATAATCCGAATTCTTAAAGCTTGCATGATTGTGAAAACAGGCTATAGAGAAAGAACATAGACATCTTCAAATTATGGGTGCACAGATTCTTGCTGAAAGTAACAGCAAAACTATTGTACAAGAAAAAGAATCCATCCTGAACCAAATGACTTCCTTGAGGTGATAGTCAACAAATAGAAACCATATAATTTGGATATATAATGCAAGTGGATGATATTCTGTTAAAAAATCTTGGTAAGGTTGAGGGAGGTAAAAGAACATGACAATGGTAAAATAACTAAACAAGATCAAAGAATACAGTAAACATGTAGATGGTAGACATTTGTAATATAATTTTCAAGGGAACAACCCTGATTTAATGCCATCCAATGAATTTACTCATTCATTCATCAGAAACAAATGACCCTTTTCTGCAAATATTTGATGAGAGAAAGACTGTATTAAAAAGCTTACATCTACACTGCTATCCATGTTCTGGTGCATCCATTTTGGTAGATTTTTGTCAGAAATGCATGAGAAGTTATGTATTTTAGTCACTTGGTCTTTTATTCAATATCACTTGAAGACCCATTCTGAAGATATTCATCTTTGGGCAATTGTGCTCTTAATGGAAAAGAAATCTAAATAATAAAAGAAATACATCACAAATAGGATACAAATCTAAGTTCCAGAAGTTATATGGCAGATATATCATAAGAAACTTTCAAAAGTATCCTTTGAATCTTACCTGCTTAATGAGATAAAAAAGTAAAATGGTCAACCCAATCCAGTGTCAATATTTGTGTTCAGGGTATGTGCAATTGAAGTCCAAAACAATATTGTCACAATTTGAGCACTGTGTAGCACAGTATAGCATTGATACCTTTTCGTGATAGACAGTTGTATACCTGAGATATTGTATTCAATGCACTTAATCTTGTAAACTAAAACTTTGTGAAAAATAGTCAAAATGTCTGGAAATTTTATATTTATGCAACCTTTTAACTTAAAATAATATAAGACAGCATAATAATGACCTAAGATAACAAAAAAAATTCAGGACATGAATTCTACTGCACAATACTGAAAATGAGAAGAATACAATAATATTGTCTTCAGAATATGAAGAAAACATTCATCTTAGAAATGATCATGGGACATATTACCTTATATCAATTGCATTTTGTCAACATCGAAATATGCTGCATGGTGATTTTACCTTCCAAAAAACACTGATAAATATACTTGTTTCTGTGGGTGCAGAAATAAAGAGCTGCCTGCAATAAACAAAACCATTGCTGCGGCAGTACACTAGTACTGAAGTGACTCAACCTATGACTCTGGGTTTTTACTGGGGGTAAGTGGTGGATTTTGCAGAGCTACAGTATACGTTGACTGTGCATATAGTATGAAAAAGCTGTTCTGTTGTTTGGATATTTTAGTTACCGAGGCAGCAGACCTATTCAAAACAAAAGGGGAAATTTGGCAAGCATATGCAGTTGATTAACTTAGTGGGTTTTCATTTTTCTATTTTTGACATTTCTTTCAAGAAGAACTACACCAGAGGACTAAAAAACCCAGAAGAAGCAATTGCAGTATTTGTGTGTGTGTGTGGGGGGGGACTTCTAAAAACTAAAGATTTATTTGGGCAATGCTATTCCAGGTTCTGTGAATTAAATTAGGAATCACTTCCAGTGAAATTAGATTAAAATCTAGGATCTCTGCTTACATGTTGCTCCTGCAAGAAATAAGTCATAGTTTAGTTTAATCATAGTCTGGACACACATCATGCTAAACCATGAAATAAAGTTTACAATCTCTGATAACTGAGTTCACAAGTCAGATTAGCTCAGCAGACTAGCCTGTTCTTTCTTTGGATGATGTGTGAATCTAAATGAGTCTTCAGTAGAGTCTGAGTTCTTTAACTATAGCTTAGCTTCCACATGGAATTAAACCTCCCTTAAAATGACCTTACCTTTTGAAGCACAATCTTGGGAGCTGTAAGGCAAGTGTGGCACTAAAACTTACCTCAAGAGCCAGCCATGCACCTCAGTCTACCACATTCCTTCTGCTCATCATTACCATAATGGTCTTGTCTTCCCTCCTTCCCAGTTTCCCACAACACAATCTGATCTTCACCTAAAGTAAGCACCCAACAAATTACCTCAATTTCCAGCCTTTCAATCAGAGTGTTAGCACTGGCCTTAAGTGCTTCTGACTGGTACTCAACATAGCTTAAGTTACCTGTTTAACTTGTCTCCCTAGTATTCGAACAACAACTAGACCAGTGATGGTGAACCTTTTAGAGACTGAGTGCCCAAACTGCAACCCAAAACCTACTTATTTATCTCCGGGTGCCAGTTGGGCATGGCCCACTGGGTGGGCATGGCTGTGGTGGTCATGGCAGACTAGGTGGGTGTGGCCAAGGTGGGCGTGGTCACCTCAATGTTGCTCATGGGGAAGAACACCTGTGGGGGGCAGGCAGGGTTGGGGAAGATCCAGGGGATCTCTGGCAGGTGGGGCAGTGGGTAGGAGGCTTGTCCTGCAGGGTGAGGTGAGGCAAGGCATGACAGGGTGGGGGTGTCATTGTCGTAGGGCAAGGCAAGGCAGGGGCCGGGGTGGCTGCTGCCTGACATCATCGGCCCCCGCACACAGAGGCCAGTGAGCAGCCTCAGCCGACTGGCCCCTCAACTGGCACACTCTGGGGCTCCGCAGTCCACAGCCAGCAGTTCAGAGAAGCCGCCTCTGAGCTGAACGGCCGGCCAACAGATGAGGAGGTGATGCAGTGGGTCATGCCTGGGAAAAGGAGAGCATGCGAGGCCAGGAGGGACAGGACAGGGGGAGGGAAACCAGCCGTGCTGGGATGCATCCGCCCACGTGGGACCTTGGCAAGTTAGCGGGCGGCTGGTTGAAGAGGGATGGTTGCCATCTCCGGAGCATGGTACGTGTGCCCACAGAGAGGGCTCTGAGTGCTATAGGTTCGCCACCACTGAACTAGACCTACAACTGGTAAGGAAGGAAAAGCCTCAGTATTAGTTGTTAGAAGGGTCTGGTAAACTAATCATTATATCAGTTCAACAAAATGGATGAAACTGGGAGATTAGATAGAATTGACAAAGTAAGCCCTGCTTTACATGGCAAACCTAAAGATCACCACTCCCATTGCTATCTCATGCCTCATCTCAGTTATCAAAGGCCACCAGAAAACCAGGTTAATCCTCATCCACCAAACTATGAATGCCTCTGCTGCCATCTGCGGAAGAAGGACAAAATCCACTGTAACCCTGCCTTCTAACAAAACAAACTCCAACAATGGATTGGAAGCCTAGACACTGCTGAACAGCTGATAAGCATTGTAGCTGCAAACACATCTCCCCCAATGTTTCCTGTATCATTCCTGACACCATCAGTTTCTTCAAATCCCAGACCTGAACAGTTCCTGATCTCCTTCAAGCTACCTGACAGTTCTATTTCTCTTATCCTCCAGATCACAAAGGTGACATGCTTTTTCTGGAATGGCAACCACTGGCCACCACAACTCCCAGCTCCCAGAACAACTGAGCAACTTCCAATCAAGAATCCCACCAACCATCCATGACATTCTGAATCCACCAGCTTCAGCACTATAAAAAAAAAAGGGCTGGTTAGTCCACCAGAATCAATGCACGTTAGATTATTAAATACAAAAAATAATATTAGTAAAAAGGAAATATCCTAAAATTTAAATTTACATCTAATTTTATGTGTGCTTAGAGTTAGATAAAATTTATTCCTGTTACAAGGATTCCTTAAGTTATTTTAGTTCTACTCGTTGCTTAGAAAGCAAGTTTGAGATTTGTTTTTCTGAGAAAGCTATTCTGCAAAGGCCTTATTTGTAATTACTCCCAGCTTGAGATTTTTAAAAGAGTGAGTGGAAGGAGAAAATATTGAGTGTTTTTCACAAAGTATATTACTACATCATTTCTTTTTTTTCCCTCAACAATGTCAAGATTAAGTTATGCACTAATTGTCAGATAGACCTCAAAATAAATAATTTTACAAATGATTCACAAGCAGTTTAATATAAGCAGGAGCTGTAAACATTCTTTAGATTATAATGTCTCATCCAAATATTCAGAACCAGCAAAACAAAAAGCAGCATTATTTGTAAAATATTCAAACATTAGTAGAAACAACCTCTTTATAGTAATATAGAGGATATAAGATACTTTGCCACTTGGAATGGGACAACTTGCTGCCGCCAGCTTGCCGCAGGACAATTCCACATGGCCAACTCATCACAGAGACAACTCACCGCGGGCAGCCAAGGGTGATCTAGGCAGGCAAGCAAACCAATGGGCAGAGTGCAGAGCACAGGGTACATTGGGATGGATGGCAGGGTGGTGGCAAACTGGGACTTCCCATTTTCACATCCCCTGCTGCTACTACCACCACCATTCCCAGCCTCTTTCACTTGGAGTCCGCCTGGCAGTTTTCCCTCTGGTCACCCACAGTGAGTTGTCCCCGAGGCAAGTTGGCCATGAGGAGTTGTCCTGCAGTGAGTTGGCAGCAGCGAATTTATAGTGGTGAGCTGACAGTGATGAGTTGGCCGTAGCGAGTTGTTTGTGGCAAGTTGTCCTAGACCAGGGGTGTCAAACTGCTGGCCCGCAGGCCAGATGCATCCTGGCAAAACCGCACCCATCCCATTGCTAGCAATGGGGAAAAAAGGTGCGATACGTTGTGACATGTCACGTGAC